ATAGTCTATTTCTATTCCATTCGTATTTTGCTGTAGGGTTGTTGATTTTAAGAGTTCTGTGGACATTCTAGTTATTAATACTTTGTTGTAAGTGTTGCTAATATTTTTGCCTGTTTGTTGCTTGTCTTTTAACTTTGTGGTATTTTTAGCTATAAATCCATCTTCTTTTTTTTCCTTTTAAGAAGAATTTACCCTAAATTATAAGTATGCCCTTTTATATTTGCCTCCAGTATTTTGTTGTTTGTTTTCATGTAGATTTTTAATCCATTTGGAATTATTAGTTTTTGTTTATGCAAATATTAATTTTAGAAAATTATAAATTTATGTTGTAACCAGTCTGCAGAATTGTAGAATTTCCTCCACAGTATCCAGCGACCCAAAATTAGAAATTCATCCAGGCGTGAATCCTGGTTGGGAATGTGTATAGGCCAGGAGTGCAGGGCAAGTCAAGGTGCAGTTGAGAACGTCAATGAAGAGATTAGACATGGTCTGATCTCTGCTGACCAGTAGGAGAACTGGGAGAAGTCAAGAAGAATAAGCAATTCCAGTTAAAACCCAGATTTAGGGAGTAAGAAAGAGGAATGGATTGAAAGTTATGATCTCAGAGTGAGATTTGGGAACTTGATATTTCAGCAGTGGAAGAATTGCTGGTGGTAACAGGTCTAGGATATGGCCCGGAAAGCTTTGGGCCTCTAACACTCATGTCCCTCCTGAGCTCAGTCTCCCCTGCCCTGCGCCATCCCCTGAGGATACTGAGACGTGATCACAGAGCTGAGTGACTTGGACTAGAGGTTAGTGGAGATGTGTAGAATGCAAAATATCTCAGTACTAGGGAGTCACAAATTACAGAAGCACTGTGCTACAAAAATTCTTTTATACAAAATTTTGAACACAATTTGTATAAAGATTAACTTTCAGGGAATGCTGGGGATCTCAGGTCAGCCTACAAAAGTTGATTCCGTAATATAATTTAATTATACTCTATTAATCATATCAAATAACCTAACTGGCACTTAGCTATAACATCAAATGTGCCTTTGGGCTCCCAGAACAGCAGTGGGGCCCTAGAGGAGAGGTTCAGGAAGGGTGTCGGGAGATGTCATCAGTGACTCCTCATGATTGGGAAGCCTGTCTCAGTGAAGTATTCTTTAAGTGGAGACCAGTGGCTTTGGGCTTTGGACTGTGCCTTCATCTATGAAGAGAAAAAATTACGCACACTGAAAAGATGCTTTGAGAAATTGTCCTGCTCAGTGTATGTATAGGATGATGAGTTCACAGATGGGGTGGGAGGGTGAGGGGATGTTGGGAATAGATCTTAATTAGTTGTATTTTGCCATATAAATGAGATGGCTGATCTTAGTATCTCATATATGAGGCTAAACCTGATAATGACTGTCCTTGAAAGGCAAAAAACTTAATGCTTCAGCAGGTAGAAATTTAACTTCTAATTCAGGACTGTGTTTATAGTTCCTTTTCAATGTATATGTTAGATTGTATGTGTTATATACCCGGTTCTTGGGGAGCCTCTCAACAGTTTTGCTTTCATTCTTCAAAAGTGGAAGAAGGTTTGCCTTTACCCTTCACAGTGTAAGGAAAAATAGCATTTTTCCCTAGAAAGTTTAAGAAAAAATTAAAAACCTGAGGAATTACTTATAATTCTTAGAGGAAACATAAGATTTCCCTTAGCCATGTGTGAGCTATTTATTTCTTTTCTCATAGAATTAAGGAGTTAGGAAAGCTATTTTCAGTTTTAGCTGAGCTACTCAAAGGCTAGTTACTTGACAAATATGTTTTTAAAATTTAGTCTATTTATTTGTTCTATACCCTTCTATAATTTAAGTAATGACAAACTATTTCAAGGATTTTGGGAGGGGAAGGTTAAAGTGCCTGGGATTTCCAAGCACTAACGCAAGAGATTAGAATAAGAAACACTGTCTGGGCTCAGTGCAGTAATTATCTCACTGCTATTTAAATAACCCCCTGTTGGCAGTACAAACGCTTCTCTTGTGAAACAAAATAGATTTTGTGTTAGAAAACTAGTTCTTCTACACAATAACCTTTATAAATATTTTGAAAACCCCTAATAACGTTACCCAAAAAATAATCATTCTATGATTTGTCATCATTATTATTATATTTTTCCTCTCTCTTCTGTATTATTGAGCATCCAACTAAGAAATTGTCCCTTAATTTTTTGTCTATAATTTTGTAAGTCTCTCAAACGTAGTGCTTTAAGGGCTTACACCATTTCCTTCTCCTTCCTTGCTTAAAAACTAAAAATGCAAATGAGAAGGAATTAAATGTTTCATGATCAAGCTAAAGGAAGAAAAGAAAAAGAATTATTGAATGTAACTAATGTGCTTGGCACTTTACAGAAACGATGTTATTTTGGGTATGCATTACAAAAAGGCTATGAGGAAAGATCTTAGAGGTGAGAGAAACTCAAGATTCAAGGGGGTTAGGAGCCTTTCTCCTGAAGGTACCCATCTCATATGGACATGTTTGCACAGGTTTAACTGAAAAGCGCCTGTCCTTTCCTACTCTTTAACTGCTGAAGAGTACTTTAAAGGTGACAGCTCTTGGTCTGAATTATACTTTAAATATAAACATTAAAGTGCAGACAAAGCAATGATTCAGCAATCTGATATGCTTAAGTGTTTCTTGGTAAATTAGGAGAAAAGGAGGAATCTGATTTTTCTCCATCACTGAGATTATTTGAGTAATTGAGAAATACCAGTAAACCCGCTTAGCTGATTGATATATATCCTTTTGTACCTGATAGGTATTAAACAATGATGGTATAATAGCTTGATTACATCTGGTTAATATTGGTCGTTACGTGATCATGTTTTTTTATTGAAATGAAAATTAATTGGTGTATTTTCAGAAAAATAAAAAAGATTTCTTTCACATTCTGATTGATACTTGATGCTAAATAAATCAATATGCTAAATAGAGTCAGTTTCCAAGAATTCTGTCATTTAAAATAGGCATATGAATATGGGTAAGCCAGGAAGGGCTCTTGACCAGGTGGCAGGAGGTCTGGATTCTCTTCCACTTCCTTTCCACTGTGAGGCTTGGAGCAACTTGTTCTTGTCTTGGGACCTCACTTAAAGGTCGCATTAATCTGCTCTTCCACCCACTTGCTTAAGTTGGGATGAGGAACAGAAGAGGTGGTCTGAAGGTGCTTTGGAATGCTGTAGATATAGAGTGATACTTGACTCTCTTTAATGACGTAGACTCCTTTGAAAGCTGGGGATCTCTTAAAAAAATTTTTTGAAGGTGTTAGAGGATTGTGAATCCCCTAAATCCTATCCACACAGCCTAGATTATGAACTCTAGCTGTGGGCTCAGGAAAAAGGGCAGACGTATGCGTAATCTAAAATGGTAGCTAATGGACAAAAGTTTTGTAATTCACTTCAAATTTTTTTTTGTTCTGGGGATTTCCAGGACTATACATACCAGCACATAGTAGGCTGTTTGTATATATTTGTTGAAATTTTTAAATTTATATTTGGAGGGCTTAGCTATTTTCCAAGAATGAAATATTTTGAACACCTTTGAACTGGACTGACTTTTGTTTGTCATTATGTAGTTTAGAGGTTCTCCTCGGCCCCTTCCCTGTGTGTCTAAGCACTCTTCTCTGCGGTGGGACACCTCAGAGGGTACTGAGTGCTCTAAGCAGAGTGTCTCACTTCGTGGCCTCCTGTTGCAGGCAAACTCAAGTGCATAAATATATATCTGTAGCCAAATACGGGATTCACTCAGAATTCTCAAGGACAGTCATGTTTAAAATGCTGGTTCTTCTTATGGTTTTAAAAAATCAAGACAGATGTTCAGTAAAAAACTTCTAGCCTTGCGGTAGTCTTTCATTTCTTAAGAAACGGCGTACTGGAATATGTCATGTAGCACAATTAAAAATTAATCTTCAAGTTATTCCTGCTTTTTGATTAAAAAGCAAATTGCGTTTTGTCCAAATTCTCTATATCCATAATGTCCTCCTAGCCTTCCTGGTTCCTTTTGTAAGATAGCCTGTTTTTGTGTCTGAAATTAGCTAATTGCTGGCGCAGTTAGTGGTGGTTGAAAAGGGCTGATGATGCTTTCTGGAAGCTTAGTGTTATTGACTCTGGTGTATCTTCTAACCCAGTGAGTGGTTTATTTGTTTCTTAACTGCAGCTCTAGCCAGGGGTACGTTTTACATTGTGATGCAGTACATGCGAATACACCCTTACCTAAAATAAGTTTCATGAAATAATAATTATCCTTACTATATGTATTCCAATATCTTCTATTCTATTTTGTTTTTTAAAAATGCTTGTCATGATCCACTAAATGAATTAACATGACCTGCCAAAGGATTTCAAACTATAGTTTGAAAAAGTGTTCTTCAGTTATATGATAATTTTCACTGTCTTCTTATCATTTGTAAAATATATTGGGATACCATTTCATTTGTTTTCAAACTATAGTGTAAAGTAAACTCTTCAGCAGGTACCCAAAGTGTAATCCTTCATCTAGAAAAAAAGTTAAGTAATTAAAAATAGAAAACTTTGTGGAAACTTTGTTGTTGTTTTGGATGTTTTGAAGTTAGAGTGAATTTTCTGTTTTTTCATTCTTTTTACATATGCTCAACTATTAAGCAACATATTAATTGTAAGATTTGTGATCCCTTTGTTGTTGAACTTGATATAACTTTGTTGTTGAACTTGATATAACTAAATTGGAAACATTTATTACTTGTCCAGTTAGTGTTTTACATTTTATTCAAATTGTGGCAAAGCCAGTAGGAATGTTGAGTGGTATGATTCATAATTAGTTATTTAGGGCACTTTATCAAAATTCGCTTTGCCTTTCTCTACCTGTTCTGTTTAAAGAAGTAGAAAAAAATTGTTTTAGACAAAATTTTCTATTTTTCAGACTCTTTATAAGCTCTTCCACACATGCTTAACTGGTCAAGATGATGACATTTTGACTGTTTGTGTATGAATGTCTTTCCGCAGAGTTAGAAGTGTTTATCACCAACCAGCCAAGATGAACATGGTGAAGAGGATCATGGGGCGGCCGAGGCAGGAGGAGTGCAGCCCGCAAGACAACGCCTTAGGCCTGATGCACCTCCGCCGTCTCTTCACTGAGCTGTGCCACCCTCCCCGGCACATGACTCAGAAGGAGCAAGAAGAGAAGCTGTACATGATGCTGCCAGTGTTTAACAGGGTGAGTCCAGGTTGCCAAGCACATGCCTTCCAGGGCTGGATGGCACCGCAGGAACCATAAGGTTGTAATAAGTCACAGGAAGGAGAAAATGCTAGAATGAGTTAGTTTTTAACAAGCTTGATGTTTTCATTCCTTCTTTTCAATTTGCTGTAAGGTAATGTGACTTGATGTGAGGTCTGGTCAGAATGAATCCACTTCATTCTAACTACAAAAGGAAGATGGTGAGCATTCTGTAAATTGTTCCTCTCATGGCTGATATTTGGAAGAGGGGACAGATTGTAAACTACCACTTAGGTTATTTCTCTGATCTTCTGAGGTGATGGTTTATTGCACCAAATGGTGCAGTTGCCCAAGCGCTTTGTACACAGTAAAGAATCATTTGCTTCGTTGTTTGGTGGATTTTCTATAAGAGATTTTGCAAAAGCATAGTTATAGGCCCTAGGGAGTCTAAATAGAGTTAATGTGTTAATGTATTTTGTCAAGTTGATTGCATGTAGCAGTCTTGATGGAGATTTTAAAAGCAATTTTTAAATCTTTTATCAAAGGTGTACAAGCACATAGTTTAAAAAGTCAAGTAGTTCCGCAGGCTTACACGTGCCCTTCTGCTCTCTGCCACTAATTGCCGCATGCCACTTTTAGCTCTTTCAACTTTTAAATAACATACTTTTACTGCTGTTTCTTGATTATTCAGTTTTAATTGACTTTGAGAATTAGCTTTTTTTTTTTACTCCCCATCCCTCCAAACCATACATAATATACATATCGTCACTCATATGTGCTACCCTCCTTCTTGCCCTCTCCATTTACATAGTTATACCATTTGTGTAAACAAGATTCATTGTTTACACTCTACTGAGCGTGGTATATTATTCACAGATGAACCTTATAGTTACCACCATTATTTTTTCATTCTTGTAGAACTTGTTTTCCCTAGATTCATAACATAACTGTCAATTTCTGTCTTTCCTCATGTCCATGTTTCTCTTCTCCACATCTCTGTCTGTTTCTCTCCCTCCCCTCTCTCTCTCTTTTCCTCTTCCTTGCCCTGTCTCTGTCGTTCTCCTTTCTCTGTCTCTCCTTCCTTTCCTGTGTCTGTCACTTTCTCCCCATTGCTCTCTCTCTCTCTCTCTCTCTCTCTCTCTCTCTCTCTCTCTCGGCCTTCATCTCTCCCACCTCTATCTTCCTCTCTCTTACCCCATCTCTGTCTCTCTCTCTCTTCCCACGTCTCTCTGTCTCCTTGTTTCTCTCTCTCCCTTTCTCCGTCTCTCTCTCCCCTTTCTCTCCCCTTGTTTCTTTTTTTTTTTTTTTTTTTATTTTTAAAGATTTTATTTTTTCCTTTTTCTCCCCAAAGCCCCCCGGTACATATAGTTGTGTATTCTTCGTTGTGGGTTCTTCTAGTTGTGGCATGTGGGACGCCGCCTCAGCGTGGTCTGACGAGCAGTGCCATGTCCGCGCCCAGGATTCGAACCGACGAAACACTGGGCCGCCTGCAGCGGAGCGCGCAAACTTAACCACTCAGCCACGGGGCCAGCCCCTCTCCCCTTGTTTCTGCCCCTCCCCTGAATCTGTCTCAGTCCCCCTGCCTATGCCTTTCTCTCCCCGCCATCTCTGAGTCATCGCCTCCCCCTAGTCTCACTTGGTCTCTATATTGTTCTGTGTGTTAGTCTTTCTGTCTGAAATTTTCTAGGCTCTTCTTTTTCTCCTCATTATTTTGAAATTTTACTGAGGCTGCATAATGTACCTTCTTAATCTGAAAACTTGTACCCTTCAATTCTAGGAAAATATTTTGAAATATTTCTTGTTAATATTCTCCCCTTTGTTTTTTATGTTCCCGTTTTCTGCAACTCAGTCAATCAGATATTAGCTCTTCTGGATTAACTTTGTGCTGTAATATTTTTAATTTCCTTGAATTCTTCTTTTATTCTTTTAAAATTGTGCAGGATCCCCTATCATCCCTCTGAAAATATTAAAGTTTTTTCAAATTTTCTTATGCTTCTTGAGTGTTATTTGCTCCAAGTTTCTGTCTTTCTTTGTGCATTTTATTTTCTTTCATATCAGAGTAGTCTTCAGATGCCTGGTAATAATCATCTGTGGTTGATATTTAAGAGTGAGGTATTGGAACGCCTACTGGAGAGTATGTGGCAGGGAGGAGTCTTTTCAGGTGCTTAGATGATCTGGCTGAGCTGTTTAATGGGAGCGCCCTCAACCTTGGATGTTGATAGCCCAGCAGGGAGGATTTTCCAGTTTCCTGCCTGGTGCATATAACCCTGGCTGCTAGTGTTTTCTTAAAGCCCAGCTGGGGAACAAGGCTGATGTTTCATGTTCAGTAGGTAGACTTTCACTTCATCTCCAGTTTTCACCCATCAGTGTTCCTGTCCTTGGTTGGTGCTGATATACCTGTTCTTCCTCTCTAGGGAGTAGACCTCTGGGTGTCTGCTGCACAGTCACTTGCAGTTTCTGGGCTGGAAAATAAGAATAAAAATATCTACCTTGTGGGGTTGGTGCGAGGATTACATAAGATAATGTACTTAAAGCTCTTAACAAATGTTTGTCCTTGGGAACTTATGTCTATTATTGTTATTGTTGTTACCACATTAAAAGTAAAAACGTTACAAGACAAAGCAAAGATTATAAACTATTTATGCTGAAATAATTGTTTACTTTATGGATTACTCAAACCAAGCTAAAGACTAATTTGATAGCAGAGATAAGAGGTAGACCCTACATATTCCGTGTTTATTTGTTTGCTTGTCCTCTTTATTCTGTTGTGACGCATTCACTGATTCATGCAGTGAGTTTGTGTCAAACAAATGCCCTTTGTGCCATACAATATACTGAGTTTCTGAGATAAGATACTTATAATCTTGTGAAGCTCAAGTATAGTGAGAAAGATAAACATATAATTCTGGAAGAGATACGCACATAAACAGATAATACAATAACAAGGAAATATAGTATTAGAGACTCCGCCCCTGAAAGAGAGTTGTCTGAAAGCCTGTAGGGATCAGGGAAGGGAACTCTTCCTTAAGAATGTGATGTGCTTGTTGAGCCCTTAAAAAGTAAGCCTTAGCCAGATTGGAATTAAGTGGGCTCAATTAACCAAGAAGGTAATTAGAGTAAGAAGTTGAAGCATGAGTCAAGGTAAAAGGCAACCAACATTTTAATACATGCCAGCATCTCTAAGCAGTCTAAGTAGTTGATTTTATGTCAAGGAGGGGCAAAAAAATAAGACTGTCGAGATTGATAGGAGGCACATAAGGACGGGTTTGTATGGCACAGTAAGAGCTAATACTTCTTCCTGGAGGCATGTAGAGCCAATGAAGCATTTTAAACAATAGAATCAGAGAACGGGCCAAGGCGAGGCTGACTCCTGGGTTTCTGATTTGGAAAACTGGGTGGATATTTTTCCCAATAGCTGAGAAAGAGAAGTTTAGGGGATAGAGTCCGTTTGAGGCACTGAGTCTGAACTATTTGTGAGCTTCCCAGATGGAGGTATTCAGTAGGAAGTTAGAAGCTCAGGTGAGGGGATTTGGCTGGATACAAATTTTTAGGACGCATTGGCAGAGATGTGGTGGTTGAAACCCTGGAAGGGGACAAGAGATTATTAATGGCTCATACTGGCAAGTGAGAGGTGCAGTAGGCTAAGGTGAACCATGGAGAATATGGATGTTTAATGAAAGAAGGGGAACCCATAAAGGATGTAGAACAAGAGGTGGTCAATGGCAAGACAAAAAGGATCAGGAGGGGATGGTTATAGAAATCAATAAAAATGTTGCCAGAAGGAGGAGAGCAGTCAACACTGTCATATACAATAGAGAGACCCAGTAAGATGAAGACTGACAAATGTTCATGAAATTTGCCAGTTTGGAAGTTACTGGAATGACGAAGCCAGAAAACAGTGAGTTGAGAAGTGAATGGGAGATGAGAAGCAACAGTAAGTGTATACTGAGCTTGTAGAGATTTGAAAGAAAAGAGAGCAAAAGAGATTGATGGACGTGAACTTGGCAATAGGAGAGTTTTTGTTTGTATGTTTCTAGTGTTTTGCTTTGTTTTTAAAGCAGTGAGAGACCCACGCATGCTGGTAAAGGGAAAGGAAGAACCCAGCAGAGGGGGAAATTTGGAAATTTTCAAGAGGCAATGAAGTTGATTAAGGGAGGAGAGCATTGAGTCAAATAGCAAGTGGATGGGTGAACCTTGAGCAGGAGAAAGACACCCCATCCTGTAGGAAAGCGTATTTTGTTGGGTGTGATTATAGATTTGTAGTTAAGGTAGTAGAAAGTTGAATGAGATCTTCTTGCTAACCTCAGTTTCCTGTAGTGGTCAACAGAAGATGTGGTCTGTTAAGAGCCAAGAGTAAGTAGGTTGAATAGGAGACTTAAGGAAGTTGTGATGGTTTGGAATATTAAGGGGAATGAGAGAAATAGTTGAAAAGGGACAATACAAGAATTAAAGAGTATTGAGGTCTCAGTGAAGGTTGGAGATGATAAATTTGTACTAGATCTTTTTCATGCAGGTGTGTGATTTTTCTCTTGCAGGTACTCAGCAGCGTATCTGTAGAGGTAGGGAAGGCAGACAGATAACATTATTTATGGGGATTAAGGTTTTGCTGGGTTGGTAAGGCAGAAGGAGAGGAGGAGAAGGAAGGAGCATGGTAAGAGGGAGAAAGCGTTCACGTATTGCCCGTGGGGTTGGATAGGATAGAATAGGAATAGAGGATGGAAACATTAATGCGTTTAGAGCATGTTCTTTTTGGGGGTGAGGGGATGGTGAGGAAGATTGGCTCTGAGCCAACATCTATTGCCGATCTTCCTCTTTTTGCTTGAGGAATATTGACCCTGAGCTAACATCTGAGTCAGTCTTCCTCTATTTTGTATGTGGGACGCTGCCACAGCACAGCTTGATGAGTGGTGTGTAGGTCTGCTCCTGGGATCCAAACCTGTGAACCCCTGACCACCGAAGCAGAGTGCATGGACTTAACCACTACGCCACCGGGCCAGCCC